ACTGCAGGAGATGATCTGCCAGAAACATGAGAAGATCCTTGAGGTTTTCTGTCGCACTGACCAGAAATGTATATGTGTGCTGTGTATGGATGACCATAAAAACCATGACACTGTATCAACTGAAGCACAGAGGACAGAGAAGCAGGTATTTAAAACTAGACACTGATGAAATATTGTTGAGACTTTTTTTATATGTGTTTATATCTGCACCCATATTAACAGCTTACAGCATTCACACTGCACACAGCAGCAGAAATGAACAGCAGCTGCAAGAAGAGTTTCACTGTTTGCTGAAAAAAACAGTAAACCTTTATCAACACAATCTTTTGTAAACTGGGCTTTGATTAAGCAACATAAAATAATGGAGTGAACTAATCACTCATTCTTCGACAAAATGTATAATTCTATCAGTCAAAGTACAAGCTAAATGCAGTGACAGATGTCAGTAAATCTGACTGAATCCAGATGATTTCAGTCATTTAAAGCTTCACTTTGTTCATTTGTTTACTGTGTAGAGCTGCAGCTTAATTACACAGAACGCAGAAACACTCTCAATGTGAAGCTCTATGTCTGTGTCAGTTTCATTATTACTATATGTACGCGTGCAGTGTAAAACATGCCTTAATCTTCATATTAATTCATGTATGATTATTGTAACCGATCATCACTTCTGGAGTTTGAACCTACAGCCATTAGTTAACAGCTCCACTTTTACTGGATTCATCTGTTCACATGAAGATTTAGTGCCAGTAGTTTTCTGTGACGTTCACTATCATCCGTTTGTCCTGCAGAAGCAGCTGAAGGAGACGCACCAGACGTTCCAGCAGAGAATCCAGCAGAGAGAGAAAGATCTTCAGCAGCTGAGAGAGGCTGTGGAGTCTCATAAGGTGAGTCTGGAGAAGAAGAGAAGTTTGTCTCAGTTCAGACTCACCTCTTTCAGTTCCACTGAAGGAACAGAGCTAGGATCAGAGAGCTGGGTTAGTTTGGTCTGGAGGAGTGTTGGGATGATGTTATTGAAGGCCGAACTGAAGTCCACAAACAGGATCCTTGCATAAGTCCCTGGTTTGTCCAGATGTTGGAGAATGTAGTGCAGTCCCATGTTGACTGCATCATCCACAGACCTGTTTGCTCAGTAAGCAATCTGCAGGGGGTCCAGTAAGGGTCCAGTGATGTCCTTCAGATAAGCCAACACCAGTCTCTCAACAGGGAGAGTCCAGTGATCTGTTGACGATCTGTGAAAAGATGTGGGCCAGCTGGTCAGCACAGATTTTCAGACAGGATGGTGAAACACCATCTGGGCCTGGTGCTTTCTTTTTCTTCTGCTTTCTGAAGACCTGATGCACATCATCTTCACTGGTCTGAAGTGCAGGAGTGGGGGAGAGGGGGGTTGCTGGAGGTGTTAATGGTTGTGTAGAGAGATGGTTAGAGCTGGTGTGGGGTATGAGACCGGGAGTTTCGAATCTACAATAGAACTCATTCAGGTCTTCAGCAAGTTGTTGATTCGCCTCAGTGCTGTGGGATGGTGTCTTGTAGTTTGTGATGTTTTTCAGACCTTTCCACACTGAAGCAGGATCATTTGCTGAAAACTAGTTTTCCAGCTTTTTAGCGTAGCTCTTTTTAACCACTCTAATCTTCTTTGTCAGCGTTTTCCTGGCCTGATTGTACAAGATTCTGTCCCCCTTCCTGTAGGCATCCTCTTTGGCCTGGCGAAGCTGTCTGAGTTTTACTGTGAACCATGGTTTGTCATCGTTGTATGTTAGATAAGTCCTGGTAAGAATGCACATATCCTCACAGAAACTGATGTATGATGTTACAGTCTCTGTGAGCTCATCCAGATCATTGGCAGCAGCTTCAAAAACACTCCAATCAGTGCAGTCGAAACATGCGAAACATGCCCACTCTGTTTAGTTGGTCCATCTTTTTACAGTCCTTACTACAGGCTTAGCAGATAGGCAACAGCTAGTGAGACTGGGGAAATTCATGTCAAACAGCTGCACTATTCAATTCAATTCAGTTCAAGTTTATTTGTATAGCACTTTTCACGACACAAATCGGTGCAAAGCAACTTTACAGCAAATTAAGTTTCTACAATAAAACAATACAATGCACTACCAGCACTGGTGCCCCTCAGGGTTGCATCCTCTACCCACTGCTCTTCTCCCTGTACACCAGTGACTGTACCTCTACTGACCCATCTGTCAAGCTCCTAAAGTTTGCAGACGACACCACACTTAGCAGCCTCATCCAGGACAGTGACGATTCTGCTTACAGACAGTAAGTTAAAGAGCTGGCTGCCTGGTGCAGTTATAACAACCTGGAGCTGAACACGCTCAAAACAGTGGAGATTATTGTGGACTTCAGGAGGAACCCTCTCTGCACTCCCTCCACTCACCATCATAGACAGCACTGTAGCTGCAGTGGAGTCATTCAGGTTCCTAGGCACCACCATCTCTCAGGACCTGAAGTGGGACAATCACATTGACTCCATTGCCAAAAGGGCCCAGCAGAGGTTGTATTTCCTTCGCCAGCTGAGGAAGTTCAACCTGCCACAGGAGCTTCTGAAACAGTTCTACTCAGCCATCATTGAGTCTGTCCTGTGCACCTCAATACTTGTCTCATTTGGTTCAGCTTCAAAGTCGGATATCAGAAGACTACAGAGGATGGTTCTGACTGCTGAAAGGATTATTGGTGCTCCCCTGCCCACCCTTCAAGGACACAGAAAATCACCCTGGATGCCTCACACCCAAGTCATCTCCTCTTTGAACTGTTGCCGTTTGGTCGGCGCTACAGAGAACCAAACACCAGGACAGCTAGGCACAATAAAAGTTCCTTCCCCCAGGCAACCTACCTCATGAACCATTAAATTGTGCAATAATATTATGTGCAATACCACTTATATACTTATTTATATACTTATAGGGATGGACTACTATCTTAGTCCATCCCTACATCTTATTCCATCTATAGCACACCTGTATATACAATTCTTGTCTATTTTTTGTTTATATATATATATATATATATATATATATTTAAAAATAAAGATAAGTAAATAAAAATACACACAAACACACACACACACACACACAGATATATACTGTATAGTGTGGCAAAAAAGCTCTTTCTGATTCCTAACAGCGCTCTGCACAGACAGCAGTGGAGGACAGTGAGAGGATCTTTACTGAGCTCATCCGCTCCATTGAGAGAAGCCGCTCTGAGCTGATACGGCTGATCAGAGATCAGGAAAAGACTGCAGTGAGTCGAGCTGAAGGACGACTGGAGCGACTGGAGCAGGAGATCAATGATCTGAGAAGGAGAGACACTGAGCTGGAGCAGCTTTCACACACACAGGATCACATCCAGTTCCTGCAGGTAACAGAGATCTAGAAGAACAGGATCATAGTGGACTTGAGCAGATCCTGCTGTGACAGAGAAACATTTCATGAGTGTTTTATTATATAATCATCAGTCCGACTCTCATCTGACTATCTTCTTTTGAAAGAGATGCTGCTTACAAATGGCTTTCAGCTCTGGAAATCTCTTCGAAACCATTTCTTTGAGTTATTTCTTCTAGAAGATATATTTAGCTGTCAAAAACCACTTGCGCCACCAACAGTTTAAAACTTCACTAACATTTCAACTTCATACCTAATAATTCCGTCTGATTTATGACATCATGGTGAAATCAGTGAACTTGATAGTACCAATTCTGAGTAACGTTCATCAAAATTGGATCAGATGATCCTCAAACCTAATAACATTAAGTTTTATTGACCTGTAACACATTGATAAGTCTGACCAAGAATATACCTAACATGAAGTCAGGCTGTATATTAGCAATGCTTCAGTGTATTGAAACCAAACCAAACCTGACTCTGTCTTAAGGGTCCCTGTGAAGTTTCAGTGTCTCTAACCGCTCTAAAGTTATAAATAAAGGCCAATCTAATCGTAGCCTTTGAGCTGCTTTTCCTGAGCAAATCTACTCAACCCTACAATGAGACTCCATTGATGTGCTTGAACTGTTAGATGGACATTTACAGTATGTTCTTAGCAGATGTTTATTCATCCAAACTATTCCTAGAAAGCTCACATAGAGTATAAGCGGCAAATACTAGAATCTGTAGCTATAATGTGATTTAATGAATATGAGAAGAATGAAGCTGATGCTGCGAAAGTGCTGGATTGAGGTGCGTTACTAAAGATCAGTCAAGTCAACAAGAACAACAAATCTGATGTTCCTGCAGGTTATTGGGTGAAGTGTGGAGCTGATGAGTTTTGACTTCTGTTTTCTGTAGAGTTTCCAGTCTCTCTCAGCACCTCCTGAATCTACAGACGTAAATGACGATC